TTAAACACAGCACCATTACAGAGGCACCTTGGTCGTACCACAGATCCATTTGGGAAACAGTGGTGTCTCATTCGCGACGTGTTATTTAAAATCAATGTGTATTTTGTTATGTTTGTGTATGGAAACGGATGCTCTCTCTCTCTCTCTCTCTCTCTCTCTCTCTCTCTCGTGTACACGAGAGAGAGAGAGAGAGAGAGACTTTTGAAAATCGTAACATTAAAAATGCATTAATAGATTGACAATACAATAGTGGAAAGGGAGCTCAAACTCACACAATGTTACTGTTTAGCACTGGTATAGCCGAGTGTTGAATAAAAACTAGTGATGGTAAAAAAATGTTGTACATATAGTATTTGAGAGTAGAAAGTATATAATATAAAGTGATAGGAATTGTGAGATAAGTTCTCTCTCTTTATTGTTGGATGTTTTGGATACCACAGAATCGTTAGAATCGTTGGATTCTGTATTCAAAATCAGTGCTAAAATGTGTTGAATAAGAGGGAGAGACACAAACTTTAAGGTCAAATAAGGATAATGTTGTGATAGCTGAGGACAGTAGCGCTGATGTTGTGTCTGTGTTGTGATTTATTTAGGGGATCGATAGCACTGTGAGAGAGAGTCGAGGGAACAGATATATCCATATATTTATATGCAGACAAATAGCTAGAATAGAGGGCATCAGTTGTGAGAGCACAGAGAGTGAGTGAATGAATGAGAGAGAGAGAGAGAGAGAGAGAGAGAGAAGAGAGAGAGAGATTTGAATGGTTGAAGTACTGAATGTGGAGACCATTGGCCATATAAAGTGTAAGAAAGCATTCATTCATTTCAACACAAAAAACATAGCAAAACATTTGAATATATTTTACAGTTAACTGAATGTAACTGGGAGTATGTCGGGGGGGGGAAGAGAGAGAGAGAGAGAGAGAGAGAGAGAGAGTGAGAGAGAGAGAGAGAGATTTGAATGAATGAAGTACTGAATGTGGAGACCATCGGCCATATAAAGTGTAAGAAAGCATACATTCATTCATTCATTTCAACACAAAAAACACAGCAAAACATTTGAATATATTTTACAGTTAACTGATTGTAACTGGGAGTATGTCGGGGGAGTGGAGATGGGATTAACAAAATTATAGTTTTATAATACACTGCATAGACAATGAGTAAAAACATGATAGATTGAAAAATGTAAAATCTTGAATCAAATATTTACTAATCTCATGAAAAATAAAGTACAATAGATTTTATAATCCCTATCCCTGTAAATCCCGGGACAATAAAAAAAAATTTAAACTAAAAGCACAGTCTGAACAGTAATGATAGCACCGGGGGATGGGCTCGGAACAGGAAGGAGAGAGTCGATGGGAGGGGGAGAGGGAGTGAAAATAGTACAATAATATTTTCAAAATAATATTAAAGCACTTTTCGATGAAACGGTATTAGCATTATATAATAGTTTCTCCATTATTCACATGATTAGCATCCATTACCTCCTGGTGTTGAGCACACGTACACCCACCCCAACCCCCCGGATGTGTGCACATCCAATACTCCGATACACTCTCTGTATACCAGTGCCCATCATCTCATTTAACGGGATCCCAAAAAACACGACTACCGGTGCTTTAATTATTGACTTTTCTTATGGGAATTTATAGCTGTCTATCATTTGGTATTCGTGTGTATGAAGTGTTATGAGCAGAGAGAGAGAGAGAGAGAGAGAGAGAGAGAGAGAGAGAGAGAGAGAGAGAG